TGAAATCCATTTTATAATCGTTTTTGATTTTAATTGTTAAAATTAATCAAGCAAGATCCCATTTTTATAATCGTTTATTTTTTATATTATTATTAAAATTATGCATATAGATCTATTTCGATGTAAAGTCGTCATCAGTGCAATATATTTTAAATAAATTCTATTAATAGTTAATTAGTTGTATTTTTTAATATATTAAAATAAAATAAAAGTAACGAAATAAAAACGCAAAGGTTCATTGAAATTAGTAAACAAAATATTTGAAATTATACGATTGTTCATGCTACGTGGCCGTTGTCAAGATGGCAACCAACAATGTCACAAATTTGAAGCGCGAAATTAATTAGAATATCGTTTCTATTATTATTATTATTATTAATATTATTAATTATTATTATTATTTTTATTATTATTATTATTATTATTGTTATTGTTATTATCATTATCGTTATCATTATTATTATTATTATTATTATTAATCCTATATATATAATTTTATATATATAGGTGAATATATATATATATATATATATATATATATATATATATATATATATATATATATTAGGAAGAAGACCAAGTTCTATACAGTTGTTCAAAAAATCCACCGACGATTCAGCATTAACAAGTTTTATGGTTGATTTTCTAATATTTTGAACTAGTTCTTTACAATTAAGTCTATTCAAAATGTTGAAATCCATTTTATAATCGTTTATGATTTTAATTGTTAAAATTAATCAAGCAAGATCCCATTTTTATAATCGAAAAGTTTGACACCGCGTCAAACTTCGTACCAACAATAAACTTATAAACCTTTTAAAAGCAAGCAACAACGAGGATAATAACCGTTTCATCAACCTTAGTACCCATAATCTAACTCAACAACAAATAGATTTTCTAAACTTGGGCCTAAATTGCCACTACATCAACAAACCGCGAAATATTGACAAACAGATAGAGGTAGAAAAACTAATGGAAAATATTTTACAGTTACAACAAAAACACAAAATAATTGTCAACCCATCAATTGCTATACATCTTCAATCCGAATCGAAAAAACAACGTGGTGTGTTTAACAGCAAAATTTTAACAAACAACATGAAAGTAGCTGCTAAAGAGATTAGAAATAATAAAGATATAATAGTTCGTCGTGCTGATAAATCCTCAATGTACGTCATTTTAAATAAAACAGACTATCTTGATAAATTAAGTAGTATTGTCAATGATGTTTCAAAATTCCAAGCGATGGATTCTGACCCCACCCCTAAATTAAAAACCGATCTTAATAATATTATTCGAAAAATAAATAAGTACCTACCTGATGATAAAAAACTATCAATACTTATAGGAGAATACAAACCTGGTTATTTGTATGGAAACGTCAAAACACACAAACCTAACAATCCTCTAAGACCCATAATCAGTCAGATACCTACCGTCACTTTTCCAATCGCCAAATTTTTAAACAAAATTCTTACTCCGTACATACCTGATGACTACAACGTCAAATCATCAAAAGAATTCATCCAAATTTTAAACAACAACAATTCATCTGACTACATTGCCACTCTTGATGTTGAATCGTTGTTCACCAATGTGCCAGTCAAAGAAACTATTGACATTATCATCAAAACTGTTTATTCCTCACATATGACTCCATTAAAAATTCCTAAAAATCTATTAAAAAATATATTAAAAATATGTACAATGCAGGCACCATTCTTCAGTCCTACGGGCCAATTGTATCAACAGATCGATGGAATAGCCATGGGATCGCCACTGGGTGTCCTATTTGCCAATTTTTATGTAGGATATTTAGAAAGCGAAACTTTCAAAAAACATCCGGAACTTAAACCACATATATATATACGTTACGTAGACGACATTTTTATCTCATATAGCAATCCAGACTATGTTCAACAACTCTTAATGATCTTCAACCAGTCAAAAATTAATTTCACAATAGAACACGAAGCCAATAGATCTCTACCATTCTTTGATGTTCTTGTTAAACATGACAACCATAATTTTACAACTTCTGTTTACATAAAAAATACCAATAAAGGCATCTGCTTAAATGGAATAAGTGAGTGCACTGAAGATTATAAAATCAGCACAATTAGATCATTCATCAATCGCGTATTTACACACTCGACAACAGTTGAACATGCTCAATCGGAAATCAAACGCGTCACTAAATTACTTGTTAACAATAACTACAACCTAAATCAGATTGAAAAAGTCATTATTCAGGTTAACAATAAATTCAATAACAATAACAACAACAATAACAACAATGATAGAAACAACAACATCAACGGCATCTGTAATAACCCTGAAAATAATAGCAACGAAAATAACAATGTCGACACCCATAACAACAACACTAATAATGACAATAATAACAACAAAAAGAAGGATATTATACTGTACTACCGTAATTTAATGTCTTCCTCTTATAAAATCGATGAATTGATAATGAAGAATATAATAAAAAACAATATAATTCCTACAGATCCTAATGATAAAATCAAACTAAGGATTTTTTATAAAAACACTAAAACATCAAACCATCTTAATAAATAATTGCACACCACGTGTTGAATCACAACTGAAACGTAGTCATGTCATATATAAATTTTCCTGTCCAGTTGACGATTGTATGCGTCTAAAATCATCATATATCGGCATGACTACCACGGATTTATCACGGAGATTGACGATGCATAAGAGAGAAGGTGCCATTAAAACCCATCTCCTTGACAAACACAACACAACAATCACCAGAGGTATACTAAATGACAACACAACCATCATCTATAGTACCCAACAATATCAAAATCTTAAACTCGCTGAAGACATTCTAATAGAAATGCAAAAACCTACATTGAACAACCAACAACAAATTAAAACAACTCTCCCTACGCATAGATTAATTAACAACGTCAACATTGTTGCTAATAATTTTAACGTCATCGATAATAATAATAATAATAATAATAATACTTTTAATAACAATGATGACGACGACAACAACAATACAAACAACGATAGCAACAACAACAGCAGCAATAAAAAGAATAACAACTACAACAACAATAATAATAATGGTAATGATGATGATGATGATAATAATAATAATAATAATAATAATAATAATAATAATAATAATAATGATAATGATAATAACAATAACAATAATAATAATAATAATAATGATAATAATAAAAATAATAATAATAATTAATAATATTAATAATAATAATAATAATAATAGAAACGATATTCTAATTAATTTCGCGCTTCAAATTTGTGACATTGTTGGTTGCCATCTTGACAACGGCCACGTAGCATGAACAATCGTATAATTTCAAATATTTTGTTTACTAATTTCAATGAACCTTTGCGTTTTTATTTCGTTACTTTTATTTTAATATATTAAAAAATACAACTAATTAACTATTAATAGAATTTATTTAAAATATATTACACTGATGATGACTTTACATCTATATGCATAATTTTAATAATAATATATAAAATAAACGATTATAAAAATGGGATCTTGCTTGATTAATTTTAACAATTAAAATCATAAACGATTATAAAATGGATTTCAACATTTTGAATAGACTTAATTGTAAAGAACTAGTTCAAAATATTAGAAAATCAACCATAAAACTTGTTAATGCTGAATCGTCGGTGGATTTTTTGAACAACTGTATAGAACTTGGTCTTCTTCCTAATATATATATATATATATATATATATATATATATATATATATATATATATATATATATATATATATATATATACACCTATATATATAAATATATATATATATATATATATATACTAGGTTTGCCTATACAATGTTAATTATTTGTTTTTTTTACCGTGAATACTAATCCTTCCCACTAATAAATTTAGAAACAGAGGAATCATTGATAATGATGGCACGTAAAAGTGTCGTATTGCACAAAGTTGAAGATCGTAATAACTAAATAAAAGAAATTTCAAAAACTGTTAAAGGCTTATATCTTCGATCAATGAAACGTTTTCTTTCCATAAATTGCTTCAATCATTGTTAAGAGCATTTTTGGGATAACAATTTTAAAAGCGTATATTAATACTGAATACTGGATATTTACGAGCATGTGCGTGTGCCTGTTTGTGTACGTTTCACTGCATATGTTGGTACGTATGTCATTATTCATTTCAAAACAGTTCCCACACAGCCATTACTGTTTTCAACAATGGTGACGCCTCCTTCCACGTTGACGAGGTGAAAGTCGAAGAAGGGTACAGAGCCAATGAGATGGACATCGGTTCAAATTCAATGTATCAGTATGGAGGAACTATAACAACGGAGACTGGAGGGGAGAGATATGATACATTGGCTGTGAGTTGCGAATAGTACCATCTTGAATGCATTTAGCTTCAAAAATTGTTAAATGATCTAGGACCATCATCTATCTCACCGTGTATCAGAAGATGGCATTCTGAGATTTAACAATCTATTAATATTGTTTGCATGGCTTTTCTTGTGCAATTGGAGCCCTTGTCAAAGTCAATTTGATAGCCTCAAAAAAATAAGATGACAAAACGCTGAAAGTTTACACTCTTTGATGAAATTTTGCATGTATTTTGTTTTTTGGAAAAATTTCATAAGAGGAAAAAGTTTGCAGTTTCTTCAGGCTGATGTACGGATGAACAAATCGGCTACACCAAAATAATGAACATTTAAAAATTGATTGTCAGTAAAATGTAATAAATTGAAAGAAGAATTTTACACAATTGACTAATAAAGTAACTTTAAAACGTAAAAAAGCATCTTATGAAAAATAAGACGAACAAAACTAAAAAGATTATTCGCATTAGGTACAACACAGCTCCAATCTTTCATGGTTAAGTAATAAGCTATAATAAGCTTATCATTATTACTTTATTTATTTATTTATCACTTTAATTATTGATTTCAAAGTGCAACCGACATTCTACTTAAGACTTGAATTAACTTTTAGAAATTTTTTGCTCGTTGAGACGCACAACTTCTGCCCGAGCTTCAACTCGCTGACGTCTGTGATCTGGTGGTTGTAGGCGGTTTTGAAACAATATTTATTATTATTATATTATTATATTATTTATTATTATCATCATCATCATCATCATCATCATCATCATTAATATATGATAAAAGTATATTGTGTTTATTTTAACAAAGACGTAGCTATACGGTTAGAAATAAATTATTCATGTACTTATTTGATCAATAATTTTAAAAAAAAATTAAAGAGACTAGTTAACTTCATTCGCTAAATTAGTTCATTTAGTCACTTCATTCATTTATTCGCCATTACAAACCATCTTTCCATCATCCGTGAACAGATATTTGGCGGGAATTTGAAGTTTAAATTTTCTCGTGCAGTCATCTAATATTTGTTCTATGCTGTTACCAAAAACACTGTGTAGAGACATTGACGAATCACCATTGATGTAAACAGCTACCTTTGTTGGCTTGTTCGTGGTTGAGTTTGTTGTTGTAGTACTAGCTGGTTTGTTGTTTGTCGCATGTTTGTTGTTGATGTTGTTCGTCGCATGTTTGTCGTTGTCGTTGTGCTGTGTTTTATTGCGATTGTTGCTGCTATGAGGTCTGTTAGTGTTGTTGTGGTGGTCTTCATTAGCATCAAGAAATTGAACTTTTTTAACTTTTTGCTGTTGTTTGTGGTGTGTATGATTATATTCAGATCTGGTAGCGAAGCCATCAGTGTTATTGCGTGATCTCGTCGTCTCTATATCTGGGTGTTTGTTTTGTTGTTGTTGCTGCTGTTCAAGAACTATTACAAATGGTTGTTGTGGTTGTTGAGATAGTTGTTGTTGTTGTTGATGATGTTGTTGATGATGTTGATGGTCGTCATTTTCAGCAGTTTCTTCATAATTTTTATTAATAAGTTCCCCTCTTTCATCGTCACCGTTGTTGAAATCTTGGTGACAAGACCGATGATGATGACGATCCTCATTTATGTTGCTGTCATTATTATTGGTAGTGTCATCACCATCACTCAGGAACTGATTATGATTAGCGATGTTGTCATGTGACAGTTTCGTGCTTTTCAATCTCAACACCTTACTGTCGTTTGACTTCTTAGATTTATGAGAAGACGCTTGTTGCAGTTGTTGTCGTTGTTGATGTGATCGGTAGTCAGGCTGTTGTTGACGATGATGCCTTTGGTAAGGTGGTTGTTGATGTTGTAGTTGTTGTTGTTTGTATCTTTGTTGTTGGCGCTCACTGAAGTTCATGTTCGGATCGATCCATCCGTCGGTCTGCGATACGTAGATAACTTGCTGACTGGCCAGCATGCTCGTGTCGGTCAGTTTGTTTCCTCTGCTGTCGAACACGTGACGAGCCGGTGTGGACAGCGACAGCTTGTACGTGCAGTCATCCAAAAACTGTCGCCGTGTTTACAATTGTTCGTCACGTGGTTAGGTGGCAACAAAGTTATTTTCATGAAAAAAATGGAAGGCTTTTAAGATTTTACACGGTGAAATGTTTGCAAAATTATTGAGCACTCTCATGTGAACGCATTGCAAATATTTTCGTCCCAATCGATTTGAAATTTTTTGTTTAATAAGTTGAAAAGAAAGCATTACCCTTGTAAAGTTGATTTGTTGTTTGTCGTTGTTGAAGTCGTTCTCCATCGCCACACTTACCACAGCAGACCTCTCGCTGTTCCTTTCGCCATTCTTCAGTACAGTCAACTTCACGTACTTACCTGATGGGTGATGTGTAACATGGGTGATGAAGAAGATGATGATGATATGATGATGATGTGATGATGATGAACATGCAACATAAGTGATGATGATGTGATGATGAACACATCACGTCCAGCTTGGGCACTATAAAGGACAACATTCATCTTAAAAGTTTAGCCAGCGTAATCATCATCACCCTGACCAACATCCAACATCATCAGCTCTTCATCATGGTAGAGGAATAAGACTATCTACCGATTTGGTCGAGGCATCTGCCTTATTACAACTGAACAGTTAAGTGGCTTAAATGTAGGCAGACAGTGGGCAGTTTTATTGGTGTGTATTCAAAATACTTTTGAAGACATCATTGATTGGGCAGCGCAGTGAGTTGAAGGTTGAGAGACTGCAGTGGCCAGGTTCAAATGCAGAGGCATCTCTGTCCATCGCATGCATGTGTGTGATGGGTTGACATCTCTTAGAAATGGTAGATAGAATCGTAGAAAAGAGTGATCAACTTATCAATACGGTGTTTGGCTCTCAATGATTCTTGAAAAAATAAAAAATAGAAAGTCTGTTTACATTTGTCAACAAGATTGTTGTTGCTGATTGGCTGATGTTCAGTTTTAACAACGTTGGTGGGAGGAGCTAATGCTGTGATAAAACATTTGTCCGACCAATCGGAGGAGAGGGTGAT